GCTGTATCACAGCTTCTCATTGTGGCTATATATATATATATATATATAGAGAGAGAGAGAGAGAGAGAGTAAGAGACAGAGAGAGATGTATGTTTATATATATATATATATATATATATATATATATATATATATAATTATTTATTTTAAAAAATATGATTCCATATGGAATCATATTTTTATTCAAATATGGAATCATATTTTTAAATAAATAATTATATTTTTAAATAAATAATTATATTTATGCTCTACTTTTGTATCGAGCACTATTTTTTTAAAATAATAACTAAAATACTAAGGATCTTTGGATTATTTACCTAACCAGTTCCTTCCTATTTTCTATATATTTTATATATATATATATATATATATATATATATATATATATATATATATATATATATATATATATATATATGCTTGTGTGGTGCGTGTGTGTGTGGCATCCGTCGATCTCGAGAAACCTTCGATCTGCACCACAAAAGTCTGCCTCATCTGTTGATGTCGGTACAGCATCTGTTATTTCTGTACAGGCTCACAATCTCGATTGCAATGATTGCATGTGAAGACGCTCTCCCCGATATCGCCTTGTTTTCTTTCCGTCGAGAATCTTTCTTCCCGGCGGCAAGTCTTCGTTTCTCCTTTTCTAACTCCATCCATCGGTACAAATCGCGGCTCCAACGCGAGCGATCGTTGGCGATGTCTTCCAACTTCTCGATGTCTATGTCCATCGCCCTTATGTCCCTTTTGCAGATATCCTTGAAGCGAAGATGAGCTCGCCCTCGTGACCACTTGCCGGTGGCCAGTTCCCCGTAATGAAGGAACTTCGGATTCTTCCCATCCGGCATACGGTGTACATGGCCTATCCAGTGAGGTCGGCGCTGTTGACGAAGGCGTATAGTCTAGGTAACTGGGCACTACAACATTGATGACCCGAACGAACTAATTGATGCCCAGAATGCGTACCAAACAGCGAAGATGAAAGACGCCAAGGTGTCGCTCATGTTTGGAGTAGAGGCTTCAAGTCTCGCTGCCGTAGAGCAGCATTCTGACGACGCATGCCTTACAGACTGCCATTTTGGTGTTCGTAGTAAGCTTTCTGTTCTAGACTCTCGAGGTCAGCGTGGCAAACGTGGTGGCAGCTCGTCCGATCCGTCTGTTGATGTCAGTGTCTAGGGAGAGGGTGTTAGAAACGGTGGAACCGAGGTATGCGAATTCATAAACCACCTCCATATTCAAATGAGCTATTTTATTATCTTAATATATATATATATATATATATATATATATATATATATATATATATATATATATATATATAGCAGCGTTGCCCGTGCTTGATTCAAAAAATCGTACGACTCATACAGCAATCGCTATCACTTGACTTAAAATATTTTTGCCCTTCCTTGCCTTTTAAAGGAGTGCCCTTTGCCGTGCTGATATTGCTACATGCCTTACTTCTTGCCTATATCACACTGCGAAAAGCTTATACTAAACATTAAATCTGTTACGAAAAATGAACTAAACAAAATGAACACAAAACGATCAACTTTAAAAAAAAGGACTCGTAACTGGAAAACCGAATGAAAAACAATGTTAACAGCAAATACTTTTTCACACCCAACCCAGTTTCCTGAAATATTGAGACGGGTCATACTACTTGGGCGGGGTTGTTGTTGCCCTTGTTTTGTTAACCTGGTACTTTGCAAATCATACATTGATCCGATTTTAAGTTCAAATAAAAAGAGCTCAAAAGTGTTTAACAACGCGAAGTCAACTGCACAGAGTCCAAAATGAGGTGAAAAGTTTAGATATACAGGGCTGCGTAGTGCAGGCGAGACATTCAACTTAAAACCCCCAAAATCCATATCACCTGTGGGTTAATCGTTTTTTTACAAAGTTTGAGTCCCAAATAAAAAATCGGGCTCTAGCATGGCACAATGATGTAAATTGAAAAATCGGATCTGGGATGCGGCCTGGGAGAAAGAACAAAGTTTAAGGAAGTGGGAAATGGACTGTTGAGGGCATGGTCAACACGGAGGTTTGTGTCGATTTTTGAGTCACGACGGGGTTACACGGCATTCTATGCAAGGCACCTCTAACTGGACCGCGTAGGAATTTCTGGTTGAATTGTAAAGAACGCCCGAAATTTTAGAATGTAATCCGCCCAAATACTGGATTACCAGCCGATTTACAATTTTTTGAAAGCCTGAGTCCAAATTGAAAATCTGTCTCCGTTACGAATTGATGCCGTAAATGTCGGAAGTTGAATCGACATTTGACGTTAATTGCAGCCTGGGCATGAAAAGAAGTCAAAAACTGGTCAATTTTTTGCTGCACGAAGGCGTCTCGCATGCATTTTTGAAAGGGCCTGTAATCTGGTCTGGGCCATTCATTTTTGTACATATGGTATGGTGATGTGAGGAGAGACAATTGATGCTTGTAACTATACATTAGTTGGCGATGAGTTCAATGCTTCACAGTAATGCAGTAAAGGGGAGGATGCATTTGTATCCATCCGATGCCGATGTACCCTTCACTTTCAGAAGATCCCAATTCTCAGTCATACCCTGTTTTGCTATGACAATTAATAAGGCCCAAGGACAAACGCTGTCTGTCACTGGTGTACACTTCGAGGAGCAGTGCTTCTCATACGGCCAACTTTACGTAGCCTGCTCTCGAGTCGGCAGGCGCGAGGATGTTTCTTTATTCACCCCTCACAAATAAGCTGAAAATGTGGTCTACACTGAAATCCTCAGCCAGTCCTCAGCAAACTCCATTCCATTTTCCTTTCCATGCAAGAAAATTGAGGCCCCTGCCAAATCAAACATATTGAATGCTGGATTTGTGGTTTTGAATAGAGACATAGCTGAACACAAAAAATTCAAATCTTGAGACATCTTTTCGTATGCAACCAATCGCTAAATGCAAAAAAGGGACGCATCTTTTGCCCAAAAGACGGCGCTTCCGCTTCCACAATCAGCATCACAATGCGTGAGCAGTGAGATGTTGTTGCAACGTAATCGAGTAAAGTTTCTCCTTGAGAAGCTTCCTCAGTTTGACCACTCAAATCGAAGAGTAATAGGTCTTTTCAGTTCTGCAGTGGTGTGTGCAGGTGAAGCATACATTGTACACCATACCCAACTCACTCAAATGCGCAAACACTAAAACGAGTATTGATTTGCGTGGACGTGCTCGACTTCACGGACAATTAAAAGAATCCCTTCAGTTTTTGTAATACGATTGGTTAGAATTTTGCAAGATGTGATTAACGACCGGTTTGGGTTTTCCTCAATAGCAATTTAAAGCAGTCAATTGTTGAAATCCAAACTGCAGTCTGCGATGTTAAATTTTCTATTGCAACCAATAAATTAGCATACATGTAGAATAGCATTTGCAGTAAGTATGGATGTGAAAGTACAGGGACCTCAATTTTCTTGCATGGAAAGGAAAAATGGAATGGAGTTTGCATATCACTGGCTGAAGACCACATTTTTAGCTTTTTGCGAGGCTACTCAAAGTTGGCCGTGTGAGAAGCACTACTCCTCTAAGTGTACACCAGTGACAGACAGTGTTTGTCCTTGGGCCTTAGTAATTGTCATAGCAAAACAGGGTATGACTGAGAATTGGGATCTTCTGAAAGTGAAGGGCACGTCGGCATCTTATGGATACAAATGCATCCTTGGGATAAGCACTTGCTCCCCTTTACCGCAGCCAGTTATAACTCAATATTGTTGTAGTTGGTTTGAAGATCAGGAAAAACTGATTCCCTGCGTGTTGCTTGCGTTGTGACAACCCTTGGACGTTTACAAATCCATTAGTGTCCGATGGAATAATACCTTCGCCAAGGGCTAATAATGAATTCGAAAATTCAGCGGACCCAACATCGCCAGTTAGGTGTGCACGCATGTTGGTGGTAGGGGGCAATGCTCTAATAGTGGGACAAAGTTGTGACGATTTTAAGCACGCTCGAATAGCGTCGGGCCTTGGCCCCTTAGGTACAATGGGGAGGGTCTGGCGAAAGTCACCGGATAGAAGGACAGTTATAACTCCCATAAGGTCATCTGAGTTTCGAATATCCTTCAGAGAGCGGTTTACAGCCTCGAGTGCAGTTTTGGGACTGACAATGCACTCATCCCAGACGATGAGCTTACATCGCCTGAGTACCTGCGCTAGACCTGATTGCTTGGTTATACCGCATACAGCTGTTTCTGCCTTAATCAGGTCAAGCGGAAGTTTAAACGTTGAGTGCACTGTTCGGCCACTCGGTAGTAATGTGGCAGCAATGCCTGAAGACACTACTGCTAGCGCCACTTCGCCATGGAGCCAATTTTCTGCAAAAAGCAGTTTTGAACGTTTTTCTCGTTCCCCTAGGCGCGTCCAGGAAGAAAATTGATCCTGTATCCTGCCTGGTGGATGCAACAACCGCATCGTAAGCGGCCCTTTGGTCTATGAGAAGTTTTGGCTCATTTGTCTCCCGCACAATCTCAGGTGAGAGACTGGAGGAAGCCACACGATCTGGCGTTGGAAGCCCAATAGCGGCGAGAGATCCCCCCCCATTTCAACAAACAGGTTCTCAATGATTATAAGCGCCCTGTTGTAAATTTCATCGTTGAATGTAAAAGCCATTGTTGGACACAGCAGTTGCGCTTCTCTGAGTATGTTTTCGGACAAAAGTCCTTGTATTTGTCCCAAAGTGATTTGGGATCACTGGGTTCGCACATTTAAGATTGTGGTGAAGAGGTGGCGCAAAGCAGAGGGCATTTTTAAAAGAGCTCCCTCAGCCATTGTGGCATCCCACTGGCTGTCGTCTTCCAAAAGGCCGAGACGGAGGCAGGCCTCACGAAAAGTGTCACATAAAACTCCATTAACCGACCGTAAGTTATTGTATCTCGTTGGACCACTAACTTCGTGCAAATGGAGTCGCAAGTAAAACATTCCTGTCGCTATGGGGAAACCGTGAATACCCTTCCGAGTGTGGCGTCTTTTTTGACGCCTGGTTAGCCCTCGATGTTGGCCCTGCACTTCCGCCGAGCCCAGGTGTCCTTTCTTGTCCACAGGTAGTATGAAGGCACGTCTGGGTACAGTAGAGTCCTAGCAAACTCGTCCTGTCGACAAAGTTTGAAGAACGCTGTAAGCGCTGTGTCTTTGCTATGCGCAGCCACATCCATTGCTGTGTCCGCAGAAAAATAACGAAGTTCGTCGTTTTCTAGGTGCACAGCAAGCTGGACGATTGCTGGGAAGCGTTCGTGGATGGGGAAGCGGAATATGTGCCAAGGGCCCTCTGTGCTGCTAATGACGCGCCCTGCAAGGAAGTCCTGGATTTCGTCTACGGAACCTTCCTGCCTAATACTAAACATTGCAGCATCAGTCTCTTTGTTGATGTACTTGCATACATACTTGATGGAACGAACTGAATGGCAATATTCGACATAGATGTGCGCATTGAACGCTTTTGTTAGCAGGGGACAGTATGGCACTACCCATCTGTTATCCACTTGGTGGCCGTTTACCACGGCTGTAAATCCTCCCCCAGCGGGACTCCTTCGCCGGTACAGTGGATAACCATTGCTCCCTGTAATGGTTTCGCTCACGAAATCTCGTGGGTACTACCGGGTGCATTTGCCGTCGCTGTTGTGACAGCTGGTGTAATTGTAATGCGACCCGCAGGGACCATGAATCATGTTGGTTATCACTATTTCGTACAATTCAGGGTCAGCCGACGGATCAGGAATTTCAGCAGAAATAAGATGATCAATTTCTGTGGCCTCAATCTTGTCGCACAGCCAAATTAGTATATGTGCGTGAGGCAGGCCGCGTTTCTGCCACTCAATAGTGTGCATGCAACAGCAAACAGCCCCAAATACCTGTCCCTTTGTAATCACATCCATTAGCTTTCCCAACTACAGATGGTAAACGCGCGCAATGAGGTCTGGACGGTCGTAGGCCGATTGCCCTGGCATAAGTTCTTTAGCAATTGCGTACCATTTTGGGTTACACGTGAAAGTTATGAATAGGTCTGGTCGGCCATACTTACGAACGTATGTCATCGCGTCTTGCGTCCTCGCGTGTATGTATCGTGGACTGCCTGTGAACGTTGCAGGTAGTATGCACATCTTGCCTATATTGCGTAGATCAGCGTCATTTCGTGAAGCATTACGGAGGTCGCAGCGCAACTTGGTCTGATTCAATCTGATGTAACAGAGTCTTTCGGATTCCATCTTAACAACCATGTCTACTATGAATTGATGGAAAAGTTGCCGGCTTCGATGAAGGTGATTGAATACACCCTCATGTACCATCAATAGGTAGGTGTAGAAAGCCCTGCAAGACACTGTTTTTAAGGTGGACCCATTTTGCAGAATGCCAAAGTGGTACCCATCTTCTCCATAAGGGAAGAGAAGTGGGTATTGCAGTGCATCGTAAGACCGATGCGTTTCACTGATTCTTCGGAGCCCACTGCCGCGCGATTCGATAACAATATCACGTCTGTTGTGCTTATCATCGCTGACAATGATGGAAACTTCGTTACTTGTGGGAGCATTGCAACGACGTTCGTGCTCTCCCTGAGGCCGTTTGTCAGCATCAATTACAATAATGAAATCAGAAGTGTTATTTTCGAGAGCATACTTAAAACTGCAGACATAGCTGTTTGTCTCATGGAGCATTTGTTGGAGACTCATTATGATATCCCTGCGGGGATGATTGTCCTGGTCTGTATCGTTCTCGGGAATAATGCCCATGCGGGTATCTGCCTGTTGATTGTAGTCAGCTATGAAGTATATTTGTAGAAAGGCCGAATTATTGGCAGTTTCCGGCAAAAGAGACCCAATCCAGTGGTAAACCTGACCTTCAACCTTGAAGGTGGGATTCCAACCAACTTCGCGGAAGACATTACCACCAAAAGAGGTCATCTGGAAGGCACAATTTTACTGTCTGATTTTTGCGAGGAAATGTTTGGAGTCTGGACTGGAACCCTCCAACAGAGCTTTCAACGGAGCAGGTAGCTCTTGAAAAGTTGGCAACTGTACCTTACGGTCTAAACAACACAAACCTGAAGACTCCTCAGGCCATTTTTTGGCATTGCAACGCCCACAGACAACTGACATGGATCCTATTTGGATGTCTTTGCGACCGGAAAGCCTCAAAACTGGCTCATAGTTGAAATCCACCTTAAACCAAAACTGCTTTGGTGGGCTACAGAGCCCTCGCTGTGCATGGCGGCGCTGGTTAAAAGTCTGCAACCTCTCAAGTTTTTCAGTAGGTCCTTCTACAGCTCGAGCAGCGTAAGTTGAAATTGCATCGCGTTGCCGCCCTGTGCGCTTTTGCGCGGAACTTTCCGACGCCCTTGCAGCAGAAGTTGCAGCGGCGTCGGTTGCATGGCGTGCGGTTTTCTCAGCCATGGATTCCTGGGACCGTCGAATGGACGTTGCCGCAGATTTCGCTGCGTTACGTGCAGTTTTCTCAGCCGTGGTCTCCTGGGACCGTCGAATGGAAGTTGCAGCGGCGTCGGCTGCATTGCTAGTAGCTTTTCGATGCGGGCTCTGTCGAGACCGCAAAATCGCTTGTGATGAAGCCGCTTTTTTTGTCTTGCAAGCGTTTAGGTAGTTTCCTCTTACTTTTCAACGAATATGTGTAAATTGATTTGTAGTACAAACGGTAGTTACGCTCACCAAGCGTTTCATGTAACAAAACATACTGCCTCCGTTGAGATTGACTGGAAAGCCTCAAATATGCCTCTACCTCGGTTTCCCCTTCCCGCTTTCTCTTTGCCGCAGAGGCTCTTTTATAACGCCTGCTAAGGTTGCCTCGCCGTGGTATTTTGGCACGCTTAGCAAAGCTGCCGGGTCGGTCATCGCCACGGCACTCAGAAGAGTGCAAAGCAGAGGTTGAAGTAGACGGCAGCCGCTTCTCCCCCAATGAGGCGCACTCAGTGTAATCCTGCTCCCGTTTCCCCTTAGCCGGTGAGACTTTCTTAGAACGCCTGCTAAGGTTGCCTCGCCTGGGTGTTTTTGCAGCCTTTGCAGAGCTGCCGGGTTGGACATCGCCACGGCACGCAGAAGAGTGCAAAGCAGAGTTGGAAGTAGACGCTATATGATCATCTGTAAACGGAGTTATGTGCTCATCCGCAGTCGCCTGTTCTGCATGTGTAACGTTAATGGTATTAGGGGTCTTCAGTTGCTGACGTGCGGATGTTCGTCGCGAAGGAGCCATTTGAAGGGTTGTAGAAATCTTGTGTAAGAATGCGAATAGAAGTTGATGTCGAAGCTGAAGCGGTGCAACCTCGTTGTATACGAAAACTAAAAATGCAGTGGAGCGGTATGGAAAAATCTTCTCCTAGCTATGGACCGTACTTTCTGGCAGAACGAAAACGTCGCTGTAGGAAGAGGTTACGCAACCAAAATGTTGAAGGTTAAAAAATAGTGAAACACTGAGGTGTACTGGGCCACGTAGTAAAGGCAAAAGAGAAGTAACTTGCGACAGCAATTAACTGTCTAATAGCAAAACTGAACTACGAAAAGGTAGAAATAGGTATGGAACGCTAAGATGGACTGGACTGCGCGGTAAAGGCAGCACGCGGAGATAAAATGGGTAATGCAAACGTTTAAGCAAATAGGCTGTGAAGAAATGAGGTGTACTGGGCCGCGTAGTAAAGGCTGTACACTTCAACTTACAGTGAAAACTGTAACGTGGAGGTAAAATAGGTTGGGCAAACGATTGAGCAAATAAGTAACTTGCGACAGCAGTTAACTGTCTAATAGCAAAACTGAACTATGAAAAGGTAGAAATAGGTATGGAACGCTAAGATGGACTGGGCTGCGCAGTAAAGGCAGCACGCGGATGGGTAATGCAAAAGTTTAAGCAAATAAGTAACTTGTGATAGCATGAAGCTGTCAATTAATCCAAGGACAGATGCGTTAATGGCGATCAAATCAAGACGTGAGTGCGGATGCAGCCGCGCTGAAGGTATTTAAAGGGAGCGTGACTTGTCATTGATTGGTGTAGCCTGAACAATGGCCATGACTTAGACCAATGAATGAGCTCACGCAAAATGGAAGATGCTAGCGCGCATTCACACACGCACGCATGATTTGGCAAGCGCAAGGCTTGGCCGTAAACGGGGTCAAGCTGCCTGCTGCATTTGCAACTTGGCTCTAACGCACGTGATGCCGGCGATGACAATGCAAGGAGCTGCAATGAAGTGTTTGCTCGTTTGGTTTGTGCAACAACTAAAAGCCGCTAACCGTTTGCCAGCATTAGCTTTGAAATGGATTGGGAGGAAGCCCTGCTGTTTTAGCGCAAAAACTCCTCGCCAGGTCTGGGATGCAGCCTGGCTAGGGGAAAAGGTTTAGAGAATTGGAAAATGGACTGCTGAAGGCGGAACTCAGCACGCGAATAAAGGAAGTGCTTATTTTGGTAAGATGAGACGATTAAAGCAAAAGTGTTGACAAAGTCGAATATGTCATTTGTGGCTCAAAGTCAGACCTGGTAGCAGGAATAAAAAACCGAATTTCAATGGCCATGCACCCATTCCAGAATTTGAGGTCAAATGTTTTCTTCCACTCCACGCACTGACCTGTTTCTTCCCGCGCTTAAATTAATCTGCATTTAGGAAATACCCAACCGGAAAAATATTTTTAAGGGTTGAACGATTGTCGATTTGCACTCTGTTTGAGGGCGCTCAGAGTTGAAACTTCACTTGGTGACTCCCAATGGCCTCCTCATAAATCCGGTCGGTTTTCGCTTAAAACCAACATGCGGTTCAGGCGCAATCTGGGCGTATCCGTTTTTTGGTTTTATCGATTTTCAGCACTGTTTAGGGGTCCGTGGTCATAAACTTTTGGACAACACTAATGGTAGACTCTAAGAGGGTGTCAAATTTGGTTGAAATGTGACCATTCCTTCTGTAAGCAAATTTTTTCGATTATCGATTTTTTCGGAACCTGAGTTCGAACTCAAAAATCGGGCTCCGTCATGTCCTTACGGCAGCCATTTGCAAATCGAAAATCAGGTGAGAAATGCGGCCTGAGCGAGATAACAACGCCCACGACAGACACACATGAGATAGATAGATAGATAGATAGATAGATAGATAGATATAATATCAAGTGCATTTCTTATGCACTCTATGTCACGGATGAGATGTGTAGGCTAATACAAGATAAATCAGTGCCAAGTGATATTATATACGTATATCGTATATCATGTCAAATTTTATTTATGCAAGTCAATGTTTTCGTAACATAATTGGGACAGTGTGTTAGATTTACGTTCTAATGCTATCTTTAGAGAAAGTACTACTCCTTTAGCGGGCTGGATATATTGAAGGCTGTGTATCTAAAGCAATTCTACGATTTCCATTACACTACCGGCATACGGCCATATCACGTTTAAACAGCAGTTCTCGTAGGATCACCAATGGTAAGCAGCGTCGAGCCTGATCAATACCTAGATGGGTGACCGCTTGGGAATACGTGGTGTTGTAGTCATGAATGTGCGTGTGGTGTAATGGATAACGGCTCTGACTTGGAGATCGGAGAGAAGTGTTCTAATTCCAATCAGGTTCGTTATATTCATTTCTCCGCAAATACCTTTGGGAAATGTATGAATTCACCCCCTTCTTCTCCCCCTCCTATGGGTTAATTAGTAGGACTTGTATCCGTAAATCATTATTATCTCTAAAAATTCTTACAATCTAAAAATATTTTCTGGCTTTAAGTAGCCCGTAAATGGTTGATGAGCCGTAAAAATATTAATTAATCAAACCTACGATTCTTTCTACGCTACTACAACCCTATCATGGCCAAGAAGAGTAAATAAAATACCATGACCTACGTCAAATAAGCCTTATTTTAAATAGTGTTTATAATATATCTTACTTTTAAAAGCAATTAAAAGTATTTCTAATTAAATATGTCTTAGTTTTATTGTATAACTGTAGGTCTTCAAATAGCTTCAAGCCAATGAAGTGTGTACGTCTTAGCGACGACCATCCTTCTCCGAAGCTCGTGAACTGGCGCTAAAGAATCACAAAGAACTGTAGCAAATAGGAGAAACCAGATCAATTGAGGAATTTCAACAGCTAAAATAGATATCAGATGTGACTTGAAGAGAAAATAATTACATGATATAGATGCTGACGTTCCACACTACTTCAAATAAAAGGTTAGAAAGGAAAACCCCATCAGAACTTGAAAGGGCGAAAAGAGCTACTGGATTTGAGAAAGTTATTTTCCTGTAAAATTGTTTTAATAGAAGGATATCACTGACTGCACAGTCAATGAATGCTGAACGAATGTTTTCTTATATGGAAACGGCTAATATTACCATTACCATATATCGCCTGTCCATAAGATATTCTCCAATATAAGACAAATAGCCGTAAACAATAAAGGATAAATAGTCGGAAAAAACAATGCAAATACTCTAAAGCAGCTCGTAAATACAATATAGTGTATACTTAACTATTGACAAAACTTACTTGCTAATTATTCGTCTATGATGTCAGCGTAAACACTAACGGCCAACGCCGAGTTTTAGAAGTTTTTTTTTTTTAAATATGGAAAAGATATTTTATATAACAGTAAAATAACCCTGCACTTGGAAAAAGATAGTTAATTTCAAAAGTGAATTATCGTTTAATTTTGTATCACAAGTTTACGACATTAAGTATTTATATAATAATAATAATAAGAAGAAGAAGAAGAAGAAGAAGAGGAATATATTTCTAAATGAACCTTACCTGCAAATTTATGTGGTGCTTTTATCAAATCTGCTACAATATCGCTTACATTTAGCTGTGATGTATGTGCTTGGTATGTCTTTATCAGATTCAGTGTCATGTTGGGTATATTAAGCTTTGTATATTTGTACTTCGGTGTCACTTGCTTGGCGCTAACGTCTCACACTCAATAATAATAATAATAATAATAATGCGATCTAAGACGTCTGATAAAAACCATCTCAGTAAAAGAAATTGACAAATTATCAAAATAAATAGAGCAGAAAATAGAAATTTCAAGAATGTGGCATTTAAACACTAGTCCAGCATTAATAATAATAATAATAATAATAGGAGGAGGAGGAGGAGGAATGATTATAAAGAAAACTGATGCACATATTAAGAAAATCCTAGGAATCCCTCACTATCAAAGATTTTGCTTAGGAGCACCGCTCATGTCCTTATTAAAACTGCCTCAATGTAATAATGCTCAATAACGATCTAATAAAAACCTTCCTTAACTTTTTTTAATCGTTTTAACCCAAGCAAGGCAATACAGCCAATAAGACACAAGGCTTTACTGAGTTTTAGATAATATGAGAACAAAAAACTCACTATTAAGGAGAGAGAACAAAAAAAAGAACAGAAATTAAGAAGACAAAAGATAACGATTGATATTGCATTTAAATTTCTGAAGACCAAAGTTGACTACCAAGCAAGAAGCCAGAAGAGATTTCCACAAGCGAGAAGTATCATAAAAGAAACTGTTAGCATAGAACTTACGGTTACATCTAACCATTTCAAATGTAAAATGAGACCTTGCCGCCAATCTAGTACTGCGCTTAAATTCATAAAGTCTATATATCATAGAGGAAAGTAATAACTATTTTGAATACAAAAATATGGCACAAGGCCAAAAGGGGGGGGGCGATAGGAGAAGGCTGGTCTTCAATCTGTCTTATCTTAAACTTAGCTAACCACGATTACTGTGTGACACTGAGACCATGAGGTGGGTAAATGTTAATTCTGAGCAGAAAAGTGTTAAGTTCAAAATAAAATATAAACTGGAAAATAAAGAGATAGAATGGAAGACATTTTCCCTGGTAATTTGGAAGTGAAAAATGGGCCTACTGAATTGTCTCCCCACTACGAATTGGAACAATGCCCCAAGAGTTTACTTTCTTTATCTATCGAAAGTGTGGCATTCGAATAAAACAAATTGGGTGACGGGTTTATCTCTTTCTTGAGAAATTAGAAAAACACAAGTCATTAACGAGAGCCTGACGGGGAATTATATTTTTGGTTGCGAAAACAAATTGAGAAATGAAATGAAAAATGAATGAACTCGCTGTGAAGGTAAGGGTTATGAAAATCGATCCTGTTGTGAAAGACAGGTGATCTGGTTTGTGTTTTTGCGATTGGACCACGGATGGGGAACAGTTTTGTCTATTGTTTTAGAATTTAGGCAAACAAATTAAGAAATAATTTTTTTTGTCTCCCGCTCGGAAGATTAAATGAGTGTTCTGGTTTGTGTTCTCGCTGGACAAAGATAATTCTTGGGAAATAGAAAGGAGTCAGAGAATTGAAATTGATGACTCGAATAAAAATTAGATTTGTCACAAAGACAGTTGGGTCAGCCTGAGAGATGGACTGAGGTAGAAGGTAGAAGGAAGGTGGAGGATTTAGCGACGCCTGTATGGAGTAGTGTTGCGAGATGTGAATTGAAGCAGGTTGGAGTTAAGGAAGGAGCAATCCCTATGACTATTCACAAGAAGGTGGATAAGTCTCCAAATTTCGAAAGTTGATTAAAAAAGCAGAAATAGGGAATAAAGAGCTTTTATTGCGATTAATGTAAAAATGTAGGAATCACCGCATCCTCAGCACCCTTCGGCCTCGTGTCAGTTTTGGATGTAAGTGTATATAAGTAGATGGCTTTGGGAGCGCGGAGACTTGGACTGAAAACACGAATCGAGAGTCAATGTCAAATGCCATCATATTTCTTGATTCGAAAGAACTTTAAACCCAGCTCCTCCTGAATATTAGACCAGGCCAAGTGTCACTATAGAATCTGATGCGGTAAGGGTTAATTTTTGTTGTATCAAGAGCTATATAAACCAACTGAAGATTAACCCCATGTATCTTTCGTTTTATTTTTCGGCGGGAAGATATTTTTCTTCCTTAATATAGTACCCGCCACGGCTTGAACCAGCGCTGCGATTACTACGACCTTCGATCTTCCATTGCACTGAGATCAAGAACACGACATGAGCAGAGTTGGTTTGGATTAAAGTGGCCAGCAGCCAACAACCAGTTTGGGCCAGCGTCAGCATTGACCAGAACAGTGTTAGCCCTGTGGTTAAAACGTCGTCCTAAGACCCTGAGGACCGGACCACTAAACCTGGTTACACCAACTCGTGTAGGCGGCGGCCAAAGGCGTTATACTGACCCAAACATAACACAGTATTCCTTACGCCAAACCAACACGTTCTTAGAGTCTGTCTATATTTCTGAGATGAGGTATTATGTACATTATTTACATTATTCGGACTATTGTCCTCATCTTTGTCGCCATATTTATCACAACGTTTCGGCCGTTGTACGCTCCAGCCTTCTTCAGGTGGTTGGAATGTCGAACTGAACCCTTTATTTCGTAGACAGTTCTATTTCCACGTGCCACGTTTGATGGATGTCAGTTATCAGTTATCTCCTGTTAATTTTCCCTCTGAAAGTTCTCCACTGCCTTAACTGCATTGAACTCACACTCTTTGGGTCCTGTTACTGGATCTAACCAACGCCTTTATCCACTGTGCCATGTGTCCTTACTTACCATTCTTTTTACGGCCACTATAATACCTCAAGTCTCTATGTAGTCCTAACTAGTTCCCATATGTACAATTTTTCTGGGAAAGGGGATAAAAATAACAACATTTAAAAATGAAACCCAAAAGAATTACAGTGAAAGTATTTGTAGAAAAGATACAAGGAAGTTACATTACAGTAATGGGAAAGTGACTGAAGCTGAGATGCCAGGTCAGTAACAATGACGATACAAGTTCTTTTTTGGGATTCTGTATATAGCAGGAATACCAGATCAGATGTGGCAGGAGCATTCAAAGCAAGAACGGATGGTAGGCTTATAAATTGTATCAAACAGAAAATCACTTGAACTGAAAATAAAAAAAAAAAATAATAAATAAAAGCTCTTTAATCTAGGTACCACCACAGAAACGCGATACCTAAGGTTTAAAATGAATTTTAAAAATGATAAATATTTCTGTGACCTTTTATTTTAGTTTTAATTTCAAGCTAATAGATTAAATTTAATATTTTCAATAAGGAAAATACTTTTTTCTTTATTTCAAAACAAATTTCAATTGCGTAAGATTTTTCATTTTGGCCAGGAGACAGAGTGGAGTGGATAGCGGCTCGAGTTGAAGAGTCAGAGAGCCGAGTTCGAATTCCAATCAGATCCATTACATTCAGTTACGTGCTAATCTATTACATTCACTTACCTTGAGAAAGGTACGAATCCTCTTCTCCCCCCCCCAGCTATGAGTAAATAGCAGGACCGACTGTGGCAACCGGTCTAGGAGAAAATAATTCTGAATTCAAAAACTGTATGTAGTCCTGATGTAGCACATGCAGCTAAAGAAAGGATCATTCGATGATCCCGACTACAGTCGATTAATGATAATTTTGAAATCGTTAAAATAGCAGATTTTAGCGCCATCTGTCTTCACGATGTAATTCTCATTATTAAAAAATC